TAAGCTGAGCTGCCCTCACGCAAAGGCCCATGTCTCAAACTTGTAGACGGCAGGCTGGCCAAGTTTAATGACTAAGATCGCTCTCTGAAGCAAAGCAGCTTGGCATGGCTGCTAATCATGAATGCCGAGCTCCATGTGAGGGCAACCTCACCTCTTTGTTTTTGGCGGCTTAAACTACAAGCTCGTCCATGGAAGACAAGCCTTTTCTCACAACATTGAAACGGCCGAAAGAAGCCCGAGCTGAGCAACAGAGAGTAAGCCGAGTAACACATTGAAAGTGGTCTTGCATATGCATAAGCATATGCAAGACCACTTTCAATGTGTCGTTTAAGTGTCCGTTTAGTCTTGCATAATACAAAGACAAGCAATCCTCTGCAAGTCTTGGAAATTTCACTCGGCTTGTCGTTTATAGTATAATGCAAAGACTATAATACAAAGACTAAAGTATATTATAGTATAATGCAAGTCTTGTCGTTTAGTGAAAATTGGAAGGCTAAAGCAAAGCAAGCCGAGCTGCCTTCCAATTTAAGTGTCGTTTAGTCTTGCTACTCCTTGCATAATACAAAGACAAGCATATGCAAGACTAAAGCAAAGCAAGCCGAGCTGCCTTCCACCAAAGCTTCACCTTTTCACTTCTAAGCGGCACAATGATAGCAGCTTTGTTGCCCGAATAAAAGCGCAAAGCATGCCCTCGAAAGTATAGCTACTCGGCCCCTTGTTTCTACACAATATGGATGGCCGAATGAAAATATAAAGGTCACCCTTGCGAGCATAGCTATTCGGCCAAGGTAGTGAAGCAGCATGACCAAGCTACAGCCTGGCCGAGTTGCCCTTCAAAGAAACACCATGTTCTTAATTTCAGGCGGCCAGGCTGCATGGCCGAGCTGTCAAAAAAAGATTTTCATTACTATGCTTTTAGCATGAGCATTATTGTGATGATAATTGAATAATAATACTATAATATTAATATTATTATTTTTATTATTATACCTTCCGTGGAATATACACACATGATGAGTAGCAATTGTTTAATGAGCCATAAAAAGCACCAAGCCAAGTGTCCTATTATGTGCCTTGTGTTCACTTAGCTAGCCTGCACTACCATTTGCATAAATATTGCTACGTGACAAAGTTGTTATGGCACTATAAAAGAACTTATTAATAAATAAAAGCTTCATCAATATGTACTCTATGAGCACCATACTCAAGAAATATTGGAAGCAAGCTGCTCAGCCCCACATTTACACGGGCAGTGTATAACGCAAATCTTCATGTGCTGAATTTGCATTGATACGGCCAAAGCAGGGTGGCCGAGTGCAAATGCAAGGTATGCCTCTCCTAGCATAGCTGGTCGGCAGCAGCCTGGCCGAGCAGCTTTGTGGCCGACCTGCTATTAAGCAAGAGTCTATGTTCCTACTTTCATGCGCCAGCAACATGGCCGAGCTTCTTAGCCGAGTGAAATGGGTAAGCTCGCCCTCTCAAGCATAGCTGGTCGACTAAGGCTGGGTGTCCGACCTGCCTTCGAGCAAAGAGCCTCCTAATCACTTTTAGGCAGACAAGAGCCTTGCCGAGCTACCCATGAGGCCGAGTAACATGAGGCCGAGTAAAATAGAGAAAAATCGCTCGGTGTCAAAATGTCACAAAAAATATATTTTTGGAAAGGAAAACGGGCTAACGAGTCCAACTCTCTGCTATGCATTGAGCAATAGGCTTTTTTAGCCATCCGAGTTTGTTTAATGCCCTAAAAAAGCACTTAAACATTCTTCTAGCTAAATAAAATAAGAAAATTTGATTTAATGAACGAGTGTCAAGGCCGAATGGTGGTATTACTGTCAGGCGGCATCATTATTATATATGATTGAGAATATTGATTAAAAAAAATAAAAAAATCCTATCTGCGCTGTCCGGCCGAGTGCATAGATGGACGACCATGGCCGAGTGTCCGACCTGCTATCAAGCAAAGGCCCTCCTAATCACTTTCAGGCGCACAGGTACTAGGTCAGCTAATGTGCCGAATGAAATTAGGTGGCCGAGCTACTATTTAGCAAAGGACCACCTTCTCATTTCTAGGCGGCCTTTGTCTTGTCGAGCTAGGTGTCCGAGCTGCTATTGAGCAAAGGACCACCTTCTCATTTCTAGGCGACCTTTGTCTTGCAGAGCTAGGTGGCCGAGCTGCTATTGAGAAAAGGACCACCTTCTCATTTCTAGGCGACCTTTGTCTTGCCCAACTATGGGTGACCGAGCTGCTATTTAGCAAAGGACCACCTTCTCATTTCTAGGCGGCCTTTGCAAAAGAAGTTAATCAGCACAAACAATTCGGCACAAAGCTAAGGTAGACCGACAAGCTATTGGTTCCCTCGCCGAATATGGATATGAAGCCGAGCTGGCCATACAAATGAAGCTAGCTTTGAGAAAATAGGCGGCATGAATAATAGTGTCGAGAATATGGCATAACCATTGCCAAGTGAGCAAAAGCTAATGCCGACTATGATAATTTGCTCGACATTTAGAGTGGACTATAAAGTCAAAGCATCCAAGATAGCCTTTGTCCAAGTGGAACTGCCGAAGATGGTAGAATGACGACAGATGATGGGCAAGAGAGCCTCTTACGAGGGCAGGGGCTAAGTGACAACCAACCATGTTTCTTTCATGATGTTGGAAACTAATTGTTGAACAACGAGGCGTACTTACCTAGCTGACAAATACAAAGCGCTAAGGCTTGTACAAAGGTAAAGGGGCAGCAAAAGAGTAAATACAGACTTAGTATGCTCTAGCCGAATGACATCAGTATCGAGTAGCTAGCTAACTCATGCTTGACCAAGAGGAATCAAGGCCAAGCATGCTCAAGCATAGCAATGTGATGATAAAACTACTATGAGTATCTAGAAACATCAATGGAAAGCCTTTAAGGTCCTAGCCAAATCATGCAATTAGTTGTATGCCGACATGCAATATCTGAAGATTGGGCCTCTTGAGAGTCGTCAAGCAATAAAGTGAAACCGACCACCAAGATCAAGCCTGTCCGAAAACAATCAAACGGCCATGAGGCCAACCAAGAAAAAGCCCTAATGGATAGGGGCTAGTACTCAAAAGATAGCAAAGCTTAGTGCACAACAAAGCAAGTGATCGAGCAAGCCGACGCATAACCTTCAGCTAACAATCTTCCTTTTGGAAGATAAGTCGGAAGAGTCAAAGTGCCTCCCAGCTAATGAGAAAACAACCTTCCTTTAGGAATATAAGCAACACTTGTGAGAAGCCAAGAGGACAAGGACCATTAGGCCTCGACCTATTACTAAATACCGCAAAGCGGTAACAAATTTCGAAAGCTTAATACAAGAGTTACAATTAGGCCGAGTAGGCCCTCCATGATTTCAAGATGCCTACTAAGTGTCCGACCATCTACGCAAGCATTCATTGCTCGCAGGATAGCTTCAAGGTCGGGTATCGTTGTAATACAATCAAGTTAATAATCGAAGTGTCAAAGATAAGATAGGGAAGCTTCTTTTAGCAATTGAACGCGGCCAGATCACTAAACCAAATGCTAGCCGTCACATTTTATTCGAGTCTTTGAAAGACAAGCCACCCCATTGGGGCAATAAGGAAAGACTAAGGTCCATACATTCCTTATTGAGTAGCCACTTCATGAAATTAAGGACAAAGGTCCCTTAGTATAAGGATATATACGACCCAATAAATGAAAACGTATTAATACCTTTGGATAAGCCTCCCTCAATAGGGCAATATACAGATTTTTATATAGTCCAAGCATATATTGAATGGCTCCTTCATCCGAACAAGTACAAAAATTCTCTAGAAGAGGTTGAGCTATTCATGCAGCACCCTTCCAAGTCTGAGTAAGACTTGTCATAAAAAAAGAGCAAAACGGCACATGTGCCGAGCTCCTATGAAAAGAGTAAGCCGAGATGGAAGACACATACGGTAACATTGCCAAGTATAATTTCCAATATAATGGTAAAACACTGAGTATAATCCCAAAGATTCACTCGGCAAAACACCTTGTATAGCTTAAACCCCCAAAAGTACAAGGATTCTAGGCGACAGAAATGTCAAATAGAAATCTCAAAGGTACTCCAAAGTGCAGGAATTCTAAGCCTTTTACGCCAAATAGAATTCTGAAGGCAAGGGCAAGAAGTGACATATGGTCATCTTTCGCCCCAACTAAAGTCCAAGCCCGATTGAGTCATAAGTGACAAGGGCATAGGATGAAACTTCTTGTTAACAAGAACTTGAAGTTATTGAGATGGCCAAAAAGATAGAATCAATTGACCTATCAAAGGTTAGTCCAAACGACTAAAAAATCGTTGGACGCCTAGAAAAGACAAAGGAAAATTCATCCCAAGTGGCATAGAAACGAGACTAAGGATCTCGACAAATGTTATATTTGATTCGGCACAGACACGAGGAAAAGCCCCTCGGCAAGTGTTAAATGTTTCTCGACATTTTCTTAGTCTAAGTTAATCAAAACCTTCTCTATTTTGGACTAGACCAAATGTCGAACGAATGCAAACACTACTACAAATCCCGTCCTTTTGAGACGCTTTTTTCATCATTTACGACATTGAAAAGCGTCGCCATTTTTTTTCTCGACGCTTTTATAAAGCGTCGAGAAAAAGTGAGTCGAGAAATTTGCGACGTTTTTTTGTGTCACAAGTCTCGACACCTTTTTACGTCCCAATATTTTGTGACGCTTAAAGTCGTCGAGAATCTCGACGCTTATGTATGTCCAAAACAATATACGAAGCGTCGATATTTGCAGGATTTGGCGCACTTTCTCGACTTTCTCAACGCATTTTGCTGTCTAAAAGCATTAAATTGGTGACGCTTTTTTGTGTCTACAATTTCAAACATTTGATATTCAATATTTTGGGACGGCTTTTTCGTCTATATTTTCTACGTTAGGGACAATTTTCTTGTCCATATTATTTTAAAAAATTATCTAAAATATATTTAACAAAAAAACGTGCTGTCTCAATGAAAAAAAAATACCAAATAATTAGGCCAAACTTTTTTTTTTTTATTTCATATAGGTATATTATAGTATATGTACGATATCTCATAGTAACGAGATTTCTACTACAACAGTTATAATTCCAACTTATACTTCATACGTGACTAGTTGTAGTGGAACAAATCTGCTCATTTCTTCTCAAAAAATCTTCAATCATTCTCCAATTTAGCTGCTCCTTAATATACTTGCAAGAGGGCGTAAAGCAAAGTTCATGATGAATGGAGGAAGAAAGGAAGAGTGGAAGCAACTGCCCTTGAAGGATGCCTGATGTAAAAAAAAAAAAAAAAAAAAAAAAAAAAAAAAAGGAAATTATCAACAACCTTATACCTATAATCCTCAAATAGAAGTAGTTGCAGCAGGGAAGGAAGGACGAAGCGACTCAAAATTCCTTCCTGGACATTCTTCCCCGTATACCTTGACACCACTAGCAGCATAAGAGCCTAGACCCACCTTTCTAGCAATAGTTTCTTTATAATGAAATGAAGCAAAGGCTTTCAAAGCTCTCATGCACTCATAAAACAATTCAGAATCCTGCACCAAAACAAGGTAGAGGAACAGATGCATCAATGCCTGGTATATAAATAAGAAAACAAAACTTTATCAGTGGTTCTCCAACTATACTGAAGCTTATAATGGCAGCCCTGCTAACAAAGTAACAATGAGATCTAGAAAAATTTCAATCCAAGATAAATACCTAACTTATTGGTGTATGCTTGCCTAACATAAAATGACATTCATGATATTCCAAAGTTAAAGCAAGCTATAAAAGCTGGTTCAATAATATTCTTTTGGCCAAGTAAGTTTGTAGCATATCATATGTTATTGATAAAAAAAAGAACATAAAAAAGAAAACATATATAGTTATCATTATCAATCCAACAATTGGACACACCAAATCAATACTGATAGAAATCTGATCAAAAAGGCAAACTCGCCCAAATCAACGGGTTAGTGTGCGCTATCCATGCTGTTGTGACTCCGAACACAACACCTTTAGATGTACCTTCAGGCTTTAGTCCTTTATAGGTATGTTTTTGTGTAAGACCCAAATGAAAAAAGACGTTTGAAGAAATCAGAATCACAACCTCATGAAAACACTACAATGAGCAAATGCAAAAGATACATTTCTTTTCATGGAGAGAGGAAAGCTAAGGGAATAAGAGAGGGAAAGTTGTAGTTTCACACCTGAAACTTATGTAGGGCCAGACACTCATATCCAAAGTTTGAGTTAACAAAGTTTTTGATAAACCTATATAAAGAAGACAGAAAACCGCACATCTCAATAGAAAATAATAGTTAAAATATAATAAACATCACCAGCTTCAGAGCAATCATAGGGGGGATGTTGCACTTAAACCCCTCTTACATGGAAAATCAATTCAGGGCATATTATTTATTTCCTACTTAAACATTATGTCATATATAAATATAATGGACATGGGATTGCATCAACCAAATCATATAGTTCAATATTCAGTTCAATGAATATTTTAATAGAAATGGCAAAACTAGTACCTTACTACCTTTTACCTTGTCGGTGTATGTTCAATAGAGAACTAGTTTACTTGTAAAGTTGTGCAAACTACAGCAAGCTTATATATATGAGTGTGTATATACGATAATCAGAAAATAGTAATCAACCTGCAACTTTTTCTAATAGTAGGAATTTACATGAAACAATAATAATTGGTGGGGATTGATAACCTGTGAAGAACTCAAGTAAGTAGCCACCTCTTGCTCTTTTGACCTCTTGCTAAAAAAAATTCCTCTTACTCTTTACACCTCTTGCTGATAAATTGCCTTAGTGTATGTAACGAATCCTTCCCCTGTTAAGTCACTTCACATTCTGTAAAGCACCAAAATCAAGCATTTCAATGCAAGAACACAACCATAGTTCTTCTTTAAGCTACAATAATATATAATTAACTAGAGGAAAAATATACTAAAACAAATAAGAAAAGCCAGAGTATTCATTTCAGCAAGCCCACCCAATTCAACACAACAACCCGCTCAATCGTCAAGTAAAAATAACAGCCCGCTGCGATAGAATCAAGTCAGCAGACCACAGAAATTTCCAGAAGGCATAAATCCTAGCACAAAATTCCAAATTGAGAAATTCTTGAGCCTAGATTGGATAACTTTTATGAAAGGACTAGAGGCTAAAAACGACTGCAGGTCTAAAATTTTTGGGACAAACAGAACTGTAGCTACAAGACGATAAAATAATAGCAGCAACAATACAGAGCCGCGACAAATCTAAAAAAAACTCCAAGATATGGTAGTCTACCAGCAGAAAAATATAAAACACCAACATAACCAGATATAAACAGATATGACCTCCCACAAAAAGTAATCCAACATAACTAGGATGTTTCTCTTCTCACTCTTGAAAAAAATATTGCTGCCTGAAAGACATAGTTTGATTTTCAAAAATAACAAGTGTTTTATGATCATCAATATATACAGTATAAAGGTAGGGTAAAACATAATTTCTAAACATTTATTAACTGGTAACAACCGTACTCAGCATAATATTCAATTCGTTCATTCTTGCACATTTATGCTCCCAAACCTCAGTGGACAAGTTTAAAATACACATGAAGATCAATACAGGCAAGTATACGACCAAAAAAATATTAAACCAGAAGAGTTTAGTATGAGAGATATTAACATGAGGGTATATTTGAAAATAATGCTATAATTATGCACCTATGTATGAATATCTAGCCACACTTATCATGCAAGTTATCTTTTTATGAAATTTTAAATGAAGATTCAAAAGAACAAAGCTATAAAACCAGCACATGTACATCCTTTCTTTTCAAAATTTCAGCAGCATCTAAATAGGTAATATATGTAGTCTTGCTACAAAATATAGCCAAAATTCATTCCTTAATTCCAAATTGCAAATGAATGTAGATGAAAAGAGAATATGGGCATCAATTTATTTGCTACAAAACCACACATCCACTTCAATAAGCATTATTAGGTTGTCAAAGCTAGTTGAGTTCCAATAAAAACATATATAATGCCTTACAAAGTTATTGCTAACCTTGCAGGAAAAATAGTTATTTCCATAAGAGAGAGAGAAAGAGTATTCTTACCTTTGACAAAGCAAGTGTATACGCCTAAGTTCTGTAACAAAATAAAAAATTTAGTTTGGAGCTTATCATTATCATAGTGGGTAAGCTCTCAAAATTGAATAGAAAGAGACTAAAAAGGAGTAGAGAAAGTACTCATTAAAAGTAGAGAAAGTAGTCATTAAACCCAAATAAAAATAAAATTAAATCTCGATCAAAGACCATCTTAGACACTTCTACATAGCACATAACAAGACTATTGTATCATACATTTTAACCAATAGTTAATCAAACCAAAGATAAATATGATTGAGTATGCCAAATTTGATAAAGAGAGGGCCAAAATGAGAGATTAATATTTATCTAGTTATAATTGGTATTTTCTCACTTTCTACCTTTATTCCAAGGCCAAATCAAACTTGGTTATGAAGGGAGCCAATTGTAGTTTCAACGACTTTCAATTCAACTAGCTATTAAAGTATTCATATTAAGTTTATTAAAAAAAAAAAGTATTCATATTAAGTAATTTTTCATAATTATTGCGTTTTTTCTATATAATTATAAAGCTGAGCTGGTTTGAGTTTCTATCTTTAGCTTCCTAATAGTTATATTGTTTGACTAGTAGCTGCAACTGCTCAACAAAATAATACTTCACATTTCTTTTAATGTGAACATCATTAAAAGAATTTATACATAGAGAAAAAATATATATATACATATGTACTCCATAATGGCTATATATCTTTATTGCTAACTGGCTATATATCTTTATTGTTAACTGGCTATATATATTTATTGTTAACTGGCTATATAATCTTGTTCTCCCATTTTTTTTATACTCCATAACAAAGATATATAGCCACTTAACAATAGAAAGTAAGTTGTCTTAGAAAAAAGAAAAAAATAATTGACATGGTAAAAAAGAAAAATTTAATAAATACATCATCCATGTTTAAGGTAGAGAAAACCAAATAGACTATTCCTAAGCAATTAATAGTAGTAGTCATATTCAGACATGCTAAGAAAATAAATATAAATATGCAATCCAAATCTTGTATCTAGAAACTTAGCTTGAGTTGACCAAAAATAGTAGTCATACTCATATATAGAAACTTAGCTTGAGTTGACCAAAAGTAGCAACATAATTCAGACAACATTGAGAATCAATCAATCATCACCTTCATAAGATATTCACAAGTAATCTGGATCTCTCAATTTGAAAAGATGATACACGAAAGTCAAGTAAGATATGCATACGCAGGACGGTAATACAAGGTCTTCAATTCAATATCTTACTAGCATAAAAAAGAGAGAGATAATGCACCATGGGGCATTTTAGGATCAAGTAGATAAACACACAGAGCTTACTTGAACTAGGCACCACAAAAACAGAGGTAACTAGTGCTATATGAACTGTCAATTCAGTTAAAACAAAAGTATTATTTGAACAAAATTAATGCAAATCAATACAACCAAAATTATGAAGCTGAGTATTTTAGAATCTAACACTAAATCTGAAATAATTCTGCAATTGAAAAAAAAAAAAAGAAAAAAAAAACCTAACATCAAGAACTCTTCTTCTCAGAAAAATGAATTCATCTCAGATAGTTGCGAGATCACAAATAATAAATCACATCAAAGCAACAAAATAGAAATCAAAGTTTCATATCAATTTTATAAACTGCAAATCGCAAAGAGACATACATTCAGCAATTTTCCCCCTTACTGTAAGAGACCCGGCGATTCTACTGCACAACATTTCCTAGAATATAATGAGAAGGTGATCTTCGGTTTCAAAAACCCCTTCTTTTTCTTCTATTCGAGGGTCAAACTCTGCTTTGGTCCAACCAATAACTCTGATAGAATGGAGTAACAAAATCAATGTCAAGTTTTACATGCCGTACAGAAATAGATCTAAACAAATGAAATTAGAAAACCAATAAATCACTAATGTGTATGAAAATATCTAGAAACTAATAGATTAAATTGTAGAAATAGGAATTAAACAAGATCTATAACCTAGGTTTTGAAAACGAGTAAAATTGGGTAATTGCAACTTGCAAGTATCAATTAAAATCACACAAACAATGAAAGAAGCAATTTATATCTATTAAGAGTTAAAAATTAACAAAGATTCATGTAAAAATATAACCTGTGAGGAGAACAAGAGCAATGGCTATCGCAAAACGAATTTTAATGCAAACCACCAGATCTGATAGAAAAACAATAATTTTCGGCATAATATATAAACTATTGTGATAGATTATGTGAAACGCAAGAAAGAGGATCTGAATTTGCACCTTAGGCCATGACTCCATGAATCTCTGTAAAGAACTCAGATTAGATGAGAGCGATTGTGAGCAAGCAAAGAAGAGTTAGGGTTTGTTCGTTGTTTCGATAATGGGGAGTTAAAGGGTTTTTTTTATTTTATTTCTTCTGTCTAACTTAATTTTGCTGTGTATGGGCGGTTTTCTTTTTTTTCTTCTTTTTTTTGGTTTAATTTGGCCCGCTTTTTTTTCTGAAATTTTGAAGTCCCGGGGCTGTAGTCACGTGCAATATCACATGTCTTTTTTTCGACGCTTTTATGCGTCGAGATCAATGGTGACGTTTAAAAGCGTCGAAAAAACACGGAAATAATTTTTTTTGCTAACGCTTGATACCTGGCGTCGAGCAAATAGCGTCCAGAAACTAAGGGATTTGTAGTAGTGAAAAGAAGCATCTAAGCCTAATTGGCCATTAAAGAAAATTTGAGATAGAGTCGAAAAGGGCTACAAAATTTGTCTAAATGGCAAGACGCGCCTAGGTCCAAAAATGATCTTTAAAGGGATAGACCAAATAGGGTAAACCTCATTCGAATAAATGAGAGGAATTGAAAAAGCTTATTAGCCAAACAAACCTTGTAAAAAGGTATTTAAAGTAACCCATTAGTCACAAGACAATCAAAGTGGGGCTTAAAAGTATAAGGATCGACATCTGTCTAGTTCAAGGGCAATCATTATTATGATTGATTAACTTAGAAAATATCATACCAGCCAAGTTATAAAAATTTTCTAAGTTAATCAACCTTTTTTAACTGAACTAGACATGATGCCGAATCCAAAGAAGTTATAAATTCATTTTCGAGAGGTAGAGAAATTACCCCTCTCGAGAGGCTTATGTTTAGAGTTATTTTTACCCCATTTTATCGACAAATGAGAGGCCGACAAGTGGCCTAATTATAAGCCAACACGTGGCATCCTGCTTAGCTAAAATAAAGGACAATATGAGCATGACACGTGGCCTAAAGAGAGATATCAGATAATGAAGGGCTCAAAGCCCATTAAAGGATACATGCCTAACATAAGGGAAACCCTAATACATGTGTCAATCACGTATAGGGCAACCGATCTTCCTAGGTTATGAAACTCTAGGAGCATGATCTTCCACTTCCCTATAAATACTCCATCATTCCATGATGGGAGAGCACCACACAATTCCCAAAGGCACTCTGCCCAAAATTATGCTCTCACTTCTCTCTACTTTCTCTCTCTAAAACTCCGTTTCCGATCACTAACTTGATCGTCGGAGGCGGATCTTTAGTAAACCGGAGATTCGTTGTTTTTGCAGGTGCTCAAGCCGTGCGAGTATTGCATTCCGGATCTGTCTCCCGAGGGAATCCATACCCCCCTTCAGGTTATTCCAAAAATCCATGAAACAAAAATATTTCGTATTTTTGTCTCCGTCATGCATTTTCGAAACACGGCTTCTAATGAACTAGTAAGCTTTGAGCTTCTCATTTAAATCATCAAGAGTCTTCTCAGGTCTCGAGCACTCCTCAATAGTGTCAACCGAAATGCTTCTCACTTGTGCATCTTGGAGTGCTTCTCTAAAAATTATGAAAATTTTCAATACTCCACCTCCCCAAACCCCTTGACACCGCAGCTATACGACTGATGGTTGGCTCCCCCACAGACTCATCCCAAGCACGCTTCACTGTCAATTCGCAAGTTTCATCCAAGAGCCAACTCGTCTCAAATTTTAAACCTCTCTTTTTCTTCTTTTTTTGAGTTATGGGTCTTCCATTGAAGCAAAAGGATAGGAGCATGATCAGAATTAATGCGATAAAGATGTTTTACAGCAAAAATCTTGAACATATTACACCAAGGTGAAGTATTTGGGTAACGATCAAGGCGTTCTCGAACCCGAGTTTGAACTGAGGTGTCCCTCTCCCAAGTGTACCAAGATCCTTTGAACCCCAAGTCGCGTAAACTACAATCACCCATTGCTTCTTGAAAATTCACAATCTCTCTTCTCACCCTAGCTGCCCCACCTTCAATCTCCTCATAGGTTAGCATTTCATTGAAATCACCACTAAATAAAATTGGGAGATCATTTTTACTATACAAATGGCGATTGAATAACCAAGTATTGTGTTTTTCTTCTTCTTTAGGCCATCCATAAACACCAACAAATCTCCAAGTGCCCTCCCTGCCATTGACGTCCCCACTGATGTGGTTTTGGGAAAAATAAATGAGCTAAAAATCAACACTCTCCTTCCAGAAAAATCCCAAGCCACCCGCCTTGCCTCTACTCGACACCCCAAAAACGTTTGCAAAGCCTAAACGTTCTTTAAGTCCTTCAACCTCATTCTGATTAATATTCGTGTCCGATACAAAAACCATACCGAGGGCAAAACTATTGCTCCATTTACAAAGCTGTCGACGTGACCGCGAGTTGCCCAATCCCCGGTAATTCCAACATAGAACACTCATTGAGAGAAGTGGGGTTGGTCTTACCCAACCATTGCCGCCATTGTTACATCCATGATATTGCTATCTAGCTGTTCAGTTCTTTTCCCTCCATGCATCTCATAATCTAAAGGGGTCTCCACATTATCTAAATTGCGCTTGGAGGCAAGAACTTTCGTACTACCCCCTTGCACTTTGTGAGAATAAGGATTTTGTCTCTTCCAAGTACGTCTCCTCTCACTGCCTTCACCTTTCAGCCCAGTCAATTCAGAGATATTTAGGGAAGTATT